ATAGTAAAACTCCTCCTCAAATCGCTTTTATAGCCAAACTGTATATAAAAACCTGGATATAAAAGATTTTTAAGTTAAATGTTGCCATAACTTTAGCCTGACTGTTATTGAGGGATTGAAGAACCTGCACATTCACCCAGACTACCTTCATCATTCAGAGATTACAAAATTAAGGCAAAGCTTATTGAAATACTGTAAAGATATTGTGCTAAAATTAGCATGATGATACCTGCTGGCCAGTATTTACTGTATTGCATTTGTTTGAATGCGTTACACCTTATATTTTAGAGCTACATCAGATGATAAGAAACAAGCATTCAATATTCAAAACTAATTCTGCAAGAAGGATTTAGTATATTTCAAAACCAATTTCATATTTTCCCTGATAATTACAAAAAAAAATATTTATTTAGGCGCTTTTTTTCTTTTAAACATTTTGCACATTTTGTTTTTTTTTTTTGTTTGTTTGTTTTGTTTCTTAGACAGAATAAACCTGCGACCTAAGCTACAATTAGGAAACTACCAAGCTCCTAGTGCAAGGAGCTTGGTACTTTCACTCAAACCAGAGATGACTTCCTTTCAATCCTACTGCGCAGAAGTTTGCTGTAGTTCAGTTGTGGGCACACCAGGGGGCAATCAAGAGCTATTTAAATACTAATGGTTTAAGTTTTTTTTTTTCCAATTTATCCTTTATTTATACAAGTAGTCCGACTGAAACTCAATGCCTCATCCACACCTGTTTCTGATAAACATTAAAATTACAACAATAAAAACAATGAAATACCAATAAAATAACAAAAATGCAAATTTTCTGTTTACACAGTCACATCCAAAATAGGAACAAGTTCCCAGGGATGATTTCACAAGGTAATTCGTACATCTTAAGAAATGTCATTACCTATTTAAACTCCACACAAAAAGAGATACATTTTCCTTAAAAACTTTGCTTAATTTTTACAATTGTACCACAAAAGTATCACACAAATTACAACTGTAAAATAAGAAAAGAAAATGGCCTGTGATGTGATGGCCATAGTCAGCAGCAGGGAGAATTTCACGGTTTGATGAAGGAGTTGAAGCTTGGTCGCTTTCATGTATATTTCAGGATAAACTGTTCTTGGCAGAGTTGGGACCACATCTTCAGACTCAGAGAAATAATTTCAGAGAGACAAATGACCGGAGCAACATCTTGCTGTGTGTCTCAGGTAAAATAGCATTATGTTACTATTTGTATATTCAGTGCCTGAGTGCATTTTGAGCTACAGCACACTTGTTTCCAAATGCAGTGGTCTGCTTGGCCAGATCTGGTTATTCAAATGCAAAATATCACAAAAATTAAAGTTAATCCAAAAGAATAAAAATGCTGGACATTCTTCCTTTTT